AATTTTAGAACAAAATTTTATTAAGATAAAGTATGTAGAATTACATGTTCTTCAATATGATGCAATAAAAAAGTCATATTTCTAATTTTTATTTTTTTGTCTAGGAAATGATAAAGAAAACGAATAGACCAGTTTTTCTTGCTTATCTTGAAAACCATTAAAGATAAAGAAAAACGGTTTTCATATTCGTATGTAGAATTAAATTTTACATTATATAACATGATAAAATTTACAATTATCAACACTTATGCAATAATTAAAAATGGTCAATAACTTGATAACTAATTAAGATAGCGCAACCAAACTTGGATTTGTGGATTCCTGGCATTGTTTTTCATCAGTTTGGAAAGTTTGGGGAAAATCGAAGAGGTAGTTTTATTTGATCAGTTTTAATTGACCACTAATTTTTCGAAATAATGATGTTATCGGAAAACTGACTTGATATCTTTCATCCCCTTGGAAAACTAAATCGATTAACGTTTTCCATTTTCTTCTAGCTTTAAAAAAAATTTTTGACTCCAAAAAGAGTCAAGTGTAACCTCTTGATTCTTTTGAGTGGTCTTTGGTCAACTTTGGAAAATGGAAAATCTAAATCTGCCATTTTATAGATCCTTGCCACCTCATGAACAAAATGAAGAAAGTTCTTTTCTAACTTTATTACTTTCCGAGAAAATTGCAGCGGAAAATTTTAAAGACACATGTTATATTTGAAATTATTAAAATGTTATCTTACCTAGGATTTCATACTGAACAAAATAGTGTTTTCGGTTTTTATTTATCTTTTCTAGTTCCCGAGATAATTGATTCATGAGTCTCTATTCGAGGGTAATTGAAATTTTTAAATTTTGTTTTCAGATTCTGAAAGTAGATTAAATTCTGAATTGGAAATGCAAATTGTATTTTAACATTATTTTTTGTTGAAATACAGGGCCAAACTTTTTTTTACAAAATTTGTTCAACCAAAACTCAGAGTTGAAATAATGTATTAAAATAATTTTTGCTTGAAGAGCAGGGTCAAACTTTTTGCGTTAAAAAATTTTTGGTTGAAAAACAGGGCCGAATTTTTCGGTTCATTTTTATTCCAATTTCAAGAAAATTTTCAGATTTTAATGAAAAAATTGCCTACTTTTGAAGGACATTTTAGGGCACTTCTAAAAGGTTTAGAGCATTGAAATAAAATACATCGGAAAGAGCGTCTCTTGAACTATAATTTGGCGTCAAAAAACCTGGAGAAAGTATGTTAGATTAGGAGATATAGGGTGTTTTCCACACCATGTTTTTAAATTTTCATAAAATTGCCAACTTTTGAAGGGCATTTTAGGGCACTTCTAATAGGTTTAGAGCATTGAAATAAAGTACATCGTAAAGAGCGTCTCTTGAGCTATAAAGTGGCGTCAAAAAACATGGAGAAAATATATTAGTTTAAGAGATACAGGGTGTTTTCCACACCATGTTTTTAAATTTTCATAAAATTGCCAACTTTTGAAGGGCATTTTAGGGCACTTCTAATAGGTTTAGAGGATTGAAATAAAGTACATCGTAAAGAGCGTCTCTTGAACTATAAAATGGCGTCAAAAAACATGGAAAAAGTACATTAGTTTAGGAGATACAGGGTGTTTTCCACACCATGTTTTTAAATTTTCATAAAATTGTTAACTTCTGAAGGGCATTTTTGGGCACTTCTACTACGTTTAGAGGATTGAAATAAAGTACATCGTAAAGAGCGTCTCTTGAGCTATAAAGTGGCGTCAAAAAACCTGGAGAAAGTATATTAGTTTAGGAGATACAGGGTGTTTTCCACACCATTTTTTCAATTTTTTATAAAGTTAGCATCTTTTAAAGGGCATTTTAGGGCACTTTTAATGGGTGTAAGGGATTGAAATAAAATACATCGTTAAGATAATCTTTTGGACGTTTACAATTAATTGCCTATGAATTTAAACAAATTATAATATATTCATGTCAATTGACAAAATATTGTGTTTTATTTGTTTTTTCCCCTATTTAATGTTGTTCTTTTTTCAGATTTTTTTGTTTTGTGAATTTAATTTTGGTCGAAAAACAGGGTCGGACGTTTTGTTTAAAATTATTTTTGCTCAAAGAACAGGGTCGGACTTTTAGCTTAAAATTATTTTGTGCGAAAAACAGGGTCGGACTTATTGCTTAAAATTATTTTTGCTCGAAGAACAGGGTCGGACTTTTGGCTTAAAATTATTTTCGTGCGAATTGAATTTAAAATTTCACATGTATCTACATATCTCGAAAACTAAAAAGCATAGGAACAAAAGGATTTCATATCCGTAATCCTTGAGAGATCCTCTACATCATATACTATTAAAATAATTAAATGGTTATTCTCTCAAAACTGAAGAAATGCTATGGTAATATTTATAACTAAATGGTGATTATTATCTAAACTATTAGTCTGATAACAAAATATTACTAAGATAAAGTGTTTATAATCATGTTTACTAACAGCAGCTGCAGAAAAAACATTAAATTTCCAATTTTCATTTTTTGCTTAAGAAATGATGAAGAAAATGTATAAACCAGTTTTTCCCATTTATCTTGCAAACTATTAGAGATAAAGGAAAACTGTTTTCATATTCGTCTGTAGGATTAAATTCTACATTATCTAACACTTTAAAATTTTCAGTTATCAACACTTATGTAATAATTGAAAATGGTCAATAACTTGAAAACTAATTAAGATAGCGCAACCAAACCTTCATTAATGGATTCCTGGCACTGTTTTACATCAATTTAGAAAGTTTGAGGAAAATCGGAGGGGTGGTTTTATTTGATCAGTTTTGAACTTACCGCCCATTTTCCGAAATATTGATGTTATCAAAAAACTGACTAGATATCTTTCATCCCCTTGGAAAACTCTATCGATTGACGTTTTCCATTTTCTTCTAGCGTAAAAAATAATTTTTGAGCCACAAAATCGTCAAGTGTAACCTCTTGATCTTTTTCGAGTGGTGTTTGGTCAACTTTGGAAATTGGAAAAACTAAATCTGCCATTTCGTAGAGCCATATCACCACATGAAGAAAATGAAGAAAATTTTTCTCTAACTTTATTACTTTCCGAGAAAATTATGTCGGAAAATTTTGTATACAGATTTTATATTTGAATTTTTTTTGGTGTTATCCTATCTAGGATTTGATACTGTGCATCATAGTGTTGTTGGTTTCTGATTATCTCTATTAGTTTCCGAAATAATTGATTCTTAAATCTCGCTGCGAGTACACATTTCACTTAAAGCCATCCACAGGAAACACCCTTGGAGCTATTAAACAAAAAGTTGTATAAATTGGGTAATTAAGAGCTGCTCTACACAACAGTGTTATCAATTTTTAATAAATACTTGAAATACTAATTAAAATGTCAGGCGCCTCCGCCAAATTTTTAATAATTAAAAGTATTGTGCAAGAAATTGAAAATATCTATTTTTTAGGGTGTATTATCATAGAGGGCAATTTTAGCGAGTGATTATTTTAATACATAATTTTAATTTGACACACGGTTTAAAAGATATACGACAAAAACTGTTTAAAGTAATTTGTGTTAAGTGTAATCTTTACAACCCAATAAGGCCTAAACAAAGCATGATAAGGACAAATGTTACTAAGATAAGTTAATAAAATTTAATCGTTTGTTAAAAATCCGCAATCAGAATTTAAAAATTCCAATTTTTAATTTTCCACATAAAAAAAGAGAAATCTTTTGCCTTTTTTATAACAAAATCTTTTCGTTAAATTTTTTTATGCACTTTTGGTCGTTTTTTATGAACGGTGCTATCTTGTAGAGAATTCTTTAAGAATCAAAAATATGAAGTCCCTTTTTGTGTAGCTCTTTTAGTTCTTGAGATAATCGCAATTTATCCTCGCGGGTTTCACGGGAAAAATTAAAGAAAAAAGTGCGACCCTGTCTTTCGACCGAAAAAATTTTATGAAAAAAGTGCGACCCTGTCTTTCGGCCGAAAAAAATTTGAAGAAAAAAGTGCGGCTCTGTCTTTCGACCGAAAAAAATTTTAAGATAAAGGTTTTACCCTGTCATTCGACCGAAAAAATTTTTAAGAAAAAAGTGCGACCCTGCCTTTCGACCGAAAAAATTTTAAGAAAAAAGTTCGACCCTGTTGTTCGGGCGAAAACATTTTTAATAAAAAAGTTCGACCCTGTTTTTCGACCAAAATTGGTGATTTATGCGGTAAAAATAGCTATTTTGAAGTGTATTTTAGGGTACTTCTGGAAGGGTTAGGGGATTGTAAAAATATGCGTCGTGTAAAGAGACTCTTTAACTTTAACATAACGGTAAGAAACTTTAAAAAAGTCAAATAGTTCATGAGATACAGGGTGTTTTCCACACCATGTTTTCAATGTATTTGAAAAATGCTAATTTTTAAAGGGCGTTTTAGGGCACTTCCCAAAAGACTAGCCATTTGAAATAGTATGTATCGTGTAGAGGGACCCTTGAACTTTAACTTGGCAGTGAGAAACTTTAAAGAAATCAATTAGTTTACGAGATACAGGGTGTTTTCCACACCATGTTTTCAAATTTTAAAAAATTGCCAACGTTTGAAAGAAATTTTAGGGTACTTTTAAATGGCCTAGAGGGCTGAAATAAAATGCATCGTAAAAAGGGTCTCTTGGACTTTTATATGGCGTTAAGAAACTCTGGGAAAATATATTAGTTTAGGAGATACAGGTTGTTTTCCACACCATCTTTCTAATTTTCATAAAATTGCTAACTTTTGAAGAGCATTTTAGGCTACTTCCAAAGGGTCTAGCGTGTTAATATTTAATGCATCGTAAAGAAAAGCGCTTGATCTATAATGTGACGCAAAATAATTAAAAGAAAGTATAATAATCTTTGAGATACAGGGTTATGATCGACGAGATACAGGGTGTATCCCACAACATGTTTTCAATATATAATATAGAAATTTATTAAATAAATTTTAGAAAGAGCCTTTTGAATGTTAATTGTATTGCAACAGTTTTGGTTTCTATTGTTTTATAATTCTTACCAACAAATGTTTTAACAATATTAATAGTTCTAAACGTTAGCAATTAAAATAAACTAATAATTAGTAGCGATTTTGAATATATCACTCTTTTCCACGCCAATAAAATTCTCATCATCGTCTTCGTCATCTATTGAATTCCTAAAAGACTCGCGCGGTGATTTGGTAAATGACAAATCGTTGCTCACATTATCCTCTTCCAGATGGGTAACATTTGGATTCACAACCTGCGTAGCCCTTCGATTTGCGCCCGGTAGATTTGGAATCATCGTAGGGCGCCGCACTTCCGCTTGCGCCAGTCGATTAATGCGACTGTTGGTACTGTAAGCAAAATAAATATAAGTTTTCATTTTACAATTCAGTTATAGCTACCAACTCACGATCGGATTTTGTATGTGAAAAAGCCGATAAGTCCAATAATCAGCACTCCACAAATGGCTGATACCACTATCAGTGCAATTTTGTAAGTTTCCTCCAATGATTCAGCATCGGCTGGGATAATAACGTTTGTCATCAGCAGTGAATATTCCAAGAAAGCTTTTCGAAGCTGCGCATAAAAGTTCAAATTGTTGATTTGACTGCAAAGAAAAAATACGTGTTAAACAAGTTTTCTACACATCAATCTTGTTGCACATTACGCTTTAATAACATCGCTCTCAATGCCGACTTTATTCTCTGTATCGATAAAGTACGCAATCACTTCGGTGGAACTTATATCGACATTCTCATCTTCATCTTCGTAAGTCGCACGTCGTGTGGTCAATGAGGATAACTTAACATCACTAATTCCAACGGTGTATTTAAATTGTTCTGCTAACACCTCAATCAACTGCAAATATTACAATCAAGCACATGTTCATTCTATTACATGTAATACTTACAATTTCTCTTTTCTCTTCGACATCCTGCAAATTATTCTCAAAAATGAGCGAACACAAGTGCACATCGGCAATCACATAGAGTGTAACATGCATTGTGTCGGTGTGTTTATTCTCGTCGTCGGAATCCTCAACAATCACATCAAATTCCACTCGGCCGCTCATACTTGCCAGCACCGTGAAAGTTGCCAATAATTCACCTTCTCGACTGTTGGTCTTCCTGATTTCAAACGGTTTCGTATCTTTGCTGGGTATATTACCATCGGCGTCGTACGTATCCCAATTAATTTTGAAAGTCAGAACGTCGTTTTTATCCGGATCATCGGCTTTGAGTTCAACATTAGTTCCTTTGTTAGCTAAACCGACCAACAGAATGCCTATATCGCTTTCTTTGCTGAACACTGGTGGATGATTATTGATATCTTCAATCTGAAATTGCCAAACGATCAATAAAATCTACTGTATCTTATATAATTGTATTAATAACTTACATTTACATTCACCAGTAACACACTTTCTGGTTTTGGTTGATCACTCGGCACTGTATTGTATGATGCTTCGACTTTAAACCATGATTTTTCGTCTCCCAGCTCGTTCAAATCGATTTCTTTCGCAACATTGACACTTATCACCATTGGGTCGGTGATTTCGTAAGCACCTTCAGGTACACTTTCAGAAATATAATATTTAATATTGGTATCAGCAAACGTATTGTGTCGGGTCTCTGTGTATTGTTTTGCTTCCGGTAGTTGGCATTTCAAAGGACCTATATCCATTTCAACCCACTCACACGAAAATTCGGTCTGTTCAAAAACCGGCCCGGCGTCATTGTCTAGGAATATGATTTTAACTTCAACTTTTGCTTCATCATGGTGTGGGGTGGCGCCTATGCTCTGAGCTGTGATTGTCAGTATACATCTGTCTGGAAGATTCACGGCAGACGTCAATTGCAGTTGAGCTGTTTGATCCTTGACGCCAAGCAGTTTGAATAAGTCTTGTCCGTCCACTATAAGTGAATTCAAAGCATTATCTATTAAATTTCACTTTGTATCTTACCTAAGCAATTATCGATTATTTTAAATTCCAACGCATATTTGTTTCCTTGATTGTCAGTGGCTTCAAAGTTTTCGAGATCCGGTGCATTCGGACCATGTTGATGCAACGGTTTATTTGCTTCTTGGGCATCACTCAAAATAATGACTGGATCGGGATTAGCAAGTGCTCCCACAAAACTGACACTTTTGTAGTTGTACTTCTCTACAACTAGTGTGACTGTATTATTATCAGTGTACCACTTGTTATCAGCTAAATCATTGGTTGCTTTGAAGGTCAGTGTGTAAGTGCCATAAAATGTCTCCAAATTTTTCTTTATTTTGAATTTAGAATTCCTTAGTTGACCACCAATTTTTTCTATCTCAAAGTCTTCTAACGTCAATTGTGAATTATCATCGCCATCATGTTTTTCTATGTTTATCAGCTCGTAAAGAATTTTGATATTCTTCTCTTCGCTATCCTCATCGACACCTGTTATGACGCCCAATACCTTTTGCTAAATTCAAAACATAAATAATTAATAACTTTGTTACGAACACAACAAAACACACTGAACCTCTTTATCTTCTTCATTTGCAGTGAACTGAAGATCTGTTGTAATCGATGGATAATTGTCGTTGATATCTTTGATTTCAATTTCAATCGGAATAATAGATGATTCAACAATGGTATTTGGGTTATAAGCAATCAGATTAAAGGTGTGTTTCTCTCGACCGTTGCTTCCATCCCGCTCAATTTTTTTACCATTTACGATTTTGATTATGCATCCAGTTTCATCTGTGTCGGCTGCATAGATATCTGTATCGATATCATCATCGATCAAACTTATTACACATTTAAACTTGCTGTTCTTCTCTGTAAATAAAATCATGAACGATGAACAAATTAATTGTTTCTACATCTTACCATCCCTGTCGCTATCGGTCACCTTAATATGGCCATCTGAATCAATTAATACATCGGTATGTTCTTCAATCGAAAAATTATACGTATTCTTTTCTGGAATTGGCTTGTTGTCATCAATATCTTTGATACTTATTGTTAAATCTTTTACTACACTTCTATTATTTTCAGAGTTATAAACAGTAGCCGTCACTTCATATTTCAAATCAAACAATCCTTTATCTTCAGGAAAATCAGCATCAATTTCACCACTAACCGTAAGTTTCCCAGAATCCGGATGAATGGAAACTAATCCAACTGGCGTATCAGGTTTCTCCCTGAAAAATTATCTTTAGCAACTGAATCAACAAAGCGTATAACAATTACATTAAACTAAACACAATTTCCTCCCATCCGGGTGCGTCTGGGTCTGTCGCTTTGATTACACCAATAGTTAAACCTTCTTCTGAATGTTCAACAACAGCATTGTCTTTAAATGTGTTGTCATCAAACTCCAAGTCCATATCAGGGGTATTTTCGATGTTAATAATTAGTCTCACTGTAAGCAACACCCACGTAATTACTATTTACCTAAATATTAAATATAAACTTGTCATACGTTTTGTTTTCTGAGGTTTTGGAACTTCAGCTTTCAGGTCCTCGACATAAACTTGTAGATAAATTGTATCGAACACATTATAGTCTGGTTCTTGTGTTAATTTCAATTCGCCGGTCTCTTCATTAATAGAAATGCAACGATGATCGGACCACATCAACTTCTTTCCGCGTTTAAGAACATACGAATCATCATCACCTTCATCAATTCCGTATTTAAGCTCGCTTGATTCATCAGCATCATTACTCTCCAAATTTATATCAATTTTAGTGTCAATGTCTGATTTTTCTTTAATATCAGCTGTTTGTGTATCCTGCAAAATGGTGAGATGTTAAATGGGAATCTGGAACCGATTTTGGTACTTACCGCATCCAACGTGGGCATTTCATCATTGACGTCATCTAAATTAATGGTCAACTGAACGGTGGCGGTGTTTAGTCCATCCGTGGCTGTGATTGGAATTATAATACTTTTCTCCCGTTCATAGTCAAATAATTGTTTTGTAGTACCCGACACTGTCTTTGTCTTTAAAACAAGATTCTTTTCCTTTTCGGGGGTTGTGGTTTCTAGAGTCAGAAGTTGTTGGGCCGCAGGACCTAACTCATAAGTTATTGTGTTGAACACTTCCTCTTTATCATTATCCGTTGCGAAAAATTGGTGATCGTCTATTTTTATTTCTTCAATTTCAGTTCGACCAAACGTTTCCAAAACTTTCACCTCGTACTTAGGTTCTTTCCATATTGGTGATTCATCATTTAAATCCTTGAGGGTAATCTTTATTGTTTCTTCAACAGTGTGATCAGACAGATGCTCCGGATCGGCCGGTTCCACCTTAATAATGACATCAACAATTGCGGGTACGTCCATATTTTCGTCATCGTAGTCCAATTTTTCTGCGTCGGTTATTATGATATTGAATTGGGTTGTTTGATAGCCTGACTCCGGAATAATTTGCATAATTTCCTTGATATTTGGCAACTTCTCGCTTTCCAATGAAACTGTGTACGTGCCATACTTTCCTAAAGCATATTTGATAAATAATAAGTTAATATAATTTTGTTCAACTTACAGCGTCTTTATCGCTTATTGTGATAGATAACTTGGGTGGAAGGGTGTTTGTTTCTTCTTCTATTCCAAACTCAAGGGGCGACACTGATATTTCCGGTTTGTTATTGTTAATGTCCATAATTTGTATGTAAACTGTTTGGCTTGCTTCAATGTGTGATTCAAAGGCAGTCACATCAAAACTGAAGCTATTGTCTAAGGGATCATCCAAGATATAGGGACCAATTTTCAGCTGATCCCCTACCAGTTCTATGTGTGGACCTGTAATGTATACAATATTACTAGAAAATACATATTTTATATATTATATTGGACATACATTGCTGGGGTTCACATTCTAGTTTATATTGAATAGTTTCAGCAATTTGAATATCTCCATCTCTAGCTTTAAGGGTACGAGTCACAGATTCCTCTTCTTTGATGGAAATTGTACCAATATAATCATTCCATTCAGTGGGCATATCAGGCATGTCAATAATTTTTACCAGAATGAATAATTCCGCAAATTCTCCTTCTTCTTTATATTCTTCGTCCTATACAAACAATAAAATATAATACATAATTATCTCCCAATATACCTCGTAATTCATACTTTTGCTGTCCAGGTTAGAGCAACTGTATTTTCCGTTTCGAAATCTTCAGATTTTAAAAATTTTAAGTTCAGCTCTGCTCTATTTTGTCCTTTAAGTTCATTTGGTTCCTTGGACATTCTGAACCTATCCGGACTAAAACCAAATTCTAGATGCTCAGACAATCCGTCGGCATCCGTGATGGTATATACGCATTCCTCATTGATATAATTTTCATCATTATTTTCCTAAAATTATAATCAACGTTAATCTTTCATCGTTTTTATTGTGATATGTATGCTCTTACTTTTTGTTCACAACGATTCCCCGTAATATAAATCGGGTTATCATTAACGTTTTGCACTTCGACTGTAATTTGAAGCGTGAAGTCGCCCTGAGTCACTCTGATACTTAACTTCTTCTCCAAATCGTTTTCAAAATCAGCTTCTTTTTTAAGCGAAAGAACCAGAGTATCCAATTTGAAATAATCCCTCTGTGGTCCATCCAATGTCAATACACCAGAGCCTGGAAATGTCGCAGTCATACTCAGTTTTATCACGTAATCAAAATTTACGTACCTGTATATAAAAATGTGCCTATTATAAAGCCTTCCTTTTCACTTTCTTTAAATTTTATAAGAAGATTGTTTTCATTTGCGGCCAAGTCCACTCCATCTCCTGCGGTGAAATACGGTTCGGTCCAATCATCCTGCGCAAAAACAAGATGGTTGCCGGCGATCGCAAACGCGATGCAAGCAAACATCAGCAACGCCATTTTGGCCAACACTTTGGATCAAATATAAGAATCACGTGCACAATTCTCAACGAATTCTACGCGAATATTCAGGATTGTGATCTAATATAGTCTATAGCGCTTTTATCTCCATCATAATCGATGATATTGAATCATATTAATTGGACGAAATTTCGATAAGTGCCACTGATAACATTTTTTCCACATTGCCACATTTCAACAATGGCATGTGTATAGATAACAGAGGCTCAGTTAAGTTTGCGCTAATATTAGCAATTAATATTTTACACATATGCGATGGGATAATGTCATAACTCGTAATATATTTATTTTAATCATCCTATGCATTATACACTTGAATAGTTTACGCCCGCCTACGGCCAGATGGCGCTGATTTGTAACCGGTGACGTCATTTTAATAATCGTCGAAGAAAAAGTATCGTAGCAGAGAGTCAACAACTGCAGCAAAGCGGATAAGCTCCGTATCGGCGTGTGAGTGTCAAAGTTCATGCCATGATCACGCGCAATCATCATCGGTGTCTTCGATTAGGAGGCCCCGGCGCCCTGTAATGCCGGCGGTGGCGATCTTAGTTCGACCAGATCGCTTGCGGCGTTCACAAGTTTACCGCGCGTCTACAAATTCAAATCAATCAGCTCGATCTTGCAGCAACCAGTAAGTGTTTGTACAGTATAACAAATTAAATCGAATTAAATTGATATCAGTAAATTTCTATCAAGATTTTTGAGAGCATGATTATTGATTAATCATCAATAAAATATTTCGTATCACTTGAAATCAGTAATTATAGAGATAGGTACTTTTCGGCTCTTTTTGACCGAATATTACGTTCAATTTTAATTGTTTTCATAACTTAATATTATATGTGCGATTCATAAAGGTCCGCTTAGATACAGCCGGCAAAACATACTAATTTTGTGCAACAAAAATATATGAAATTATTGCGCATGTGTACGTGCGGAGCGAGCAAGATAATGGAGTTATCAGTGTTTGCGCGAAAACAAAATGCTCATGTGACTCACTGATGATAATTAATTCTTTACGCGGGATAAATGCACGATAAAAATTTCGGCAACTCTCCTGGCGCAAAAAGTTTCGTGTACCTATATGAATGAGCGTTAATTAGGCGCGCGAAATTCAAGTTCAGATTCGGAGATGGATTGCGAGTGGACGATGCACGCCGTCCATAAAACGGACAACTAGTCTGGCTAAAGTCCAGCAGTGCTTGTATTTAAGCAGTCTTCATTGTTGGGCGCTTATCTCCCGCCGGTCATTTTTGTGTATTTCGAGTTGAATGTTGAGGCTAGGAGCTTGAACCCGCAGACGGGATCTGCGATAACACGGCATCGATTTTTTCGTCTGCGCGTCGAAATGTTTCCTTATCAATGCTTCGCCTTGCAGTGGTCCAGAATCAATCAAGAATGATTAATCTGCCGGAACTGGAGGCGGTGAATCGCATCAGTAATCTTCCGATTGTGGAAACCGGATGGAACTATGCGGAATACATGTATCAACGTATCAAGGTGCAAAATCAAACAGAAATTTTTTTATTTTGTATAAAATTTACGTTTATTTCATTAGCATTCAAATAACTTGCTGCAATGGACATTAGACCAAGCCGAATCATCGCTCTACAACGTCATTGACACTGCCTCACCAGCAGTGTTTTTACTCGAAGGCCCACTCTCAACTATCGACCGTTTGTTGTGCAAAAGTTTGGACATTGTCGAGCAAAAAGTGCCCTCGATCCACCTGCCACCGCAAATGGTAATTATAACACACGGGTATACCAGCAATTAAATTAATTTCAATGACCTTGTTAGATCTACACCAACACCAAGCAGTACGTGAGTGATGTGGGCAGCAAAATCGTCCGGCCGGTGTTGAAGCGCGCCGATTCAGTCAAGCAGATCGGCAACCAGGTGCTGGAAAGCAAATTCACCGCATTCGCCGCTGACAAACTTGATGGTGCTCTCTCCGTGGCCGATATGTACGTGGATAAATATCTTCCGGCTGATGTGTTTGACAAGGGTAACGAAGGTGTTGATGTTGTGGACGCACCTCCAAGTGGTAGTGGTAATGCTGGTAAGGCCCTACACACCGGTCAGCACATGTTTCGCTTCTCAAAGAAGTTACGTCGTCGTCTTACCCAACGCACTTTGTTGGAAGCTAAGGCTTTGAAGGAGCAAAGTGCTGAAGCCATCCACGTTTTGGTTTATGTTGCTGAATTGGTAAGACCAGGGTACCAGGTGTGTCACAATCAAATGATTAATATTATCTGGTGTTTTATTAGATTGCTACTGATCCAAAACTGGCTCTACAGAAGGGTCGTGAATTATGGGCGACGCTTAGCAAGGACGAACCGGAAAACCAAGCCCGTCCAGAGAACCTTGAACAACTCATTGTTCTCCTCACCAGGGAAACAGCCCGTCGTGTTGTACACCTCATCAATTTCACTGCTGGTGGTATTGGGAAGGTACCACGTCGTGTGGCCCTTGTTTTGAACGCAGTGACAACTTCCTGCTTCCAATTGCTGGATACTTTGATGAAGGTAATTTTTGAAAATTTGTTGTTTTTCTGACACAGTCGCTTGTTTCTTGCTTGCTTGCTTCGGGTCCCAAGAAGATTTGCGATTGAAGGTTAAAACCCACTGCTTGCAGACGCCGAAAAGCGACGAACGCCCATCTGGCTTGGCATTGAAAAACGCTTTACGCATCCAAATGATTCTGCTCGGCTGCTTCCGCATTCAAGATAACAATGCACATTAATTTGTATCGCAAAAGACTTACCATGTAAATATTTGATGCGCAGACTGTACATTTGGACGGCGTTCGGCGATTTTTGTGGCGGGAGGGTCAGGCACGCGGCCATCTTGTTAAAAACATACTCAGACAGCTAAATATGCGCACCACTGATCTGCTGGTAAGTGCCGCACTTGAAACAACCTTCAATCGACAAATTTATCAACAAAAAAACACTCGAAAACAATCACACGTTATAAAAACTCATGTTTTTCAATTTCAGGAGCAATTCTCGTTGATGTTATCCGCTGAAAAAAACTCAACCCCACCAGTGTGCAACACAAACTCAACCGGTAAACCAATCCAACCCACTCCCAAAGTACAAGAACCATCATACGCCATTTTGGAAAACGCCATCAACGCAGCATCGTTGAATTTCACCAACGCCAACGACTGCAACGATCAACCCAAACCCACGAACCAGGACTCACTCAAACCACCAGCGAGCAGTAAGACCCAGCTGAAAGCAACCCACCGAAACGCCAACAACGCATCGGAACCAGTCGCGAATGGCGAAGGCATCAAATCATAATCAACGCATCAAAACATTACTCAGTTAGACAATCGAATATATTATTACTTGTAGAGTTAGATTTCAGGATCAGGAACAACAGAGATGTCGATTTAACTTATTTGTGTTACCGTACACTTACTAGCGTTTAAGTTTAATATTATTTTGTTTCGATTTTATTCCTGAGCGTTGAGCATGTGTGCAATATTATCCATATTGAAAGAGATATGATGTAGGGATGTTGCTATAATGTGTATATTTGGGATTAAAACTTAGTAATACTCAATGCAAATGCAGTTGTAAGTTGTAATTGAAATCTAAATGGCGCGCATCCGGCGTGGAGCGCGGCGCGCATGTTCGCGCGAAGCGATATATTCAACTTTGGTAGAACACGCGCGGCATCGCTTCCACTATTCGTGCGGATCGAAAGCTCCGAGCTGGTGCGCGGTGCGTGTCGTGTGCAATTCAACAACACAGAAAAACTTTTTTGTACATCCAATGCAGTGATTTAAAATGGAGCAAACTCCGCCGAAACTATGCGGTGTGCGTCTTCGTTCGCAGAATAAAATTGAAGAACCGGCGAAGACACGCAGTGTGACTGTGGCAATCAAACGTGAAAGTTCCGATGATGATTTTAAGGTTGGTACGAATTTATTTTTTTATTAAGTGAATATCGAAACAAATGTATTTGGTTTTTTTGTTTTTATTCGATGTTTGAGCGTGCGCGCATCGTCGTCCTCCGCAGAGGAGTTCCGCGGGTACCCTAACATGGTGCTCGGTAAGCCGATCTGCGTGCGGCAACGCGATACGCTGGGTATCAGGTCGCAGATGGTGTGGAACTGATATCCCATCAGGCACGTCGACGCAAATACACGCGTAGCCGAGAGCGAGAGCTTCGCGAGAGCTTTACTCCAGCGCACGCACACGTGGCGCACGCAAAACGCTCGAAAAACATTAACTACCAACAATATGCGCCAATATAATCAATGCCGCACGCGTAAATACCCGGAATTATTATAGAAAAAATGATTTGTTTGTATGCGCGTTATTTTACCCTAGAAATTCCAAGAATCAAATAATTCGACATTTTAATAATGACTTGCGTTCCGCACACCTCGTGTTTTGTGTTGATTTCTCCGAAATGCAAACAAAAAACGCGTTACAATGAATATTCATCAAAAAAACAATGCGCTTTATTTTATATTGTTAATTAATACATTTATATCGATAATTGACAACGTGTAGTGCACGTATTATCATTAGTTGTTGTCGACTGAAAGCATATCATGACTGTATCGCTTTTGTGTAATCCGAGAGCGTTACATTTGCGAGCAGCGCGCAATTCATTAATTAATATTTACGCGGCGCGTGTAATTAATAACTAAAACTAAAAGTTCGTAAGTTCGTAACTTTAGCATCTTCACTTGTACCTAATGAAACAATAAAACACGCCGGTATCAAAGTGTACACCGAAATGTTTACGAATGTTTCGATAAACATGATTATTTTGGAATGCGCGGTTCAAAGTATTTCAAAGCATCAACGTGAATCCGGGAGCAAAAGATGACAAATTGTTGATTGTTTTGAATAGTTTTGCTGTCGCCGTCGTCGCCGTCGGCGAAAATAATCCAAAAAAGATGTGCGCGTTAGTTTAGCGTGTGCGTTTCAGCAGATGAGTACGTGTGTTTTTAGTTTTAATTAAAGGAGTTATTAATAGCGATGCGATACGCGAGAAGCGCGAGCTGGCTGCTCGGACGGGCGTCGACGAAATCGGATACGCGGTCGGTTCACGTATCTTGCGCGCGAGTTTGCCGCCGTCGTCGCCGCCGCCGCCAACGCCGACGCTGCGCAACAGACATCTCCGATTGCCGGGTGTCCGCTTCGCCTTTCCAGCTTCCGATTGCACCGATGCCAGTGTTAAATATTATATTAAATTCAACAACAACTTACAAAATTCAATCACGTCAATTTCCAAATCACTCCAGCGTCAGATTTACGCATCATTTTCATAAGAAATTTTTATTTATTCAACTACATGTGAACATGTATCAATTACTTTTGATTTTCTCGTTTATACGCGGATACCTTATCCGAGATAGTATCGCGCGACGTATCCGATATCACAAATGAAACGAGATGCTCACTTTACACACAGCGCAGCGCGCACACCACGAATTATTTTACATAAAGTCAAAACGTTCGCAATTTTTTGACGTGATAACGTCTTTAAAATCGTTTTACGGGTGACCGGTTCAGAAACTGTCGCGAGGCCTCACGAGGCCGATCGCAGGTATACCCCCCTCTCGTTATAACCTTAGGCTCCCCGCACACTACAAACTTTTTATCGGCCGATTTTTTGATCGGGTTGGGCTGTGAGCGCGCACACTACGCCAACTAAACAGTTGGGTTTGTGGTGAGTGCGCACACTAGACAACAGTCGGCCGACTGCACCAATACTCTGAGCGAACTAAATTGATCAAGTCGGCCGACTAAACAATCGGTAGGTGTGCGCGCTTGCGACGAGCTCCATACTGATATCGCAGTCGGCCGATAGTTGGCCTGGTTGGCCGATAGTTTAGTTTGAACGCAGTTGGGTAGCCCATCAAACTTGTTTATCGGCCGATACAAAATCGTTGTAGTATGCGGACTTGCATACATCTTCATACTGATTATAAGCCCGACCAAACTATCGGCCGATAAAAAGTTTGTAGTGTGCGGGGAGCCTTAGTTTTCGTTGAATGTTTAACAGTAAAACAAAATGTGAAGTGCAAGTGAAGTGTTACAACAATTGCAACAAACAAAACTTATATCACCAATAAGACGTTATCACGTAAACAACTCGATCGTAAACCTACTTTACAAACAACCATTTTTTTTTTAATATCAAATATTTGCCTTGTAGGAATACGCCGAAACAGCCATGAACGAGCTGCTCGGATGGTATGGCTACTCAAACAACAATAACAAGCTCATCAATAAAATGCTGCAGATGAATTCCAAGACCGATGAGCATGATAAGACTGATAAGCCACAACAGGTGGAAATGCGGCGATCTTCCGGTAATAGTTCCGAGACAGACTCACCGAAATCTGCTGGTATGTCCACGAAAAAAAAAAAACAAAAAACAAAAATATGATTGTTTTATAAATTATGACGTCATATGACTACTAAACTCGTACTGGTACATGTACTGGTATCATGTAATGCATTCTCCGTTTGATATTTATTTATAGACTCTACGGAATCCAATTCTGGATTAGTAGCATCTAATATTAGCATCACACAAATGTGTGTTGTGTTTTTTTTTCCGGATTGAATATATTTTTTGCGTGCCACGCGCGCGCGGATTCGAAAAATTTAATTATGAACCCGATACAATGCAATTAATTTGCATTCGTTTTATATTCCGTTAATCAGAAATAACGAAACGAAGTAAATTGAGCAGTGTGAGGGCTGAATTGAATTAACGAGATATCAAATTCGACTGTTATTGAAATGATTGCGTTTTCATCCCCGACTCTGCACACTCCAATTAGTAAATAATGCATAAACGATGCCCTTCTGGTTGTAGAAATGTGTGGATGGTGTGGCAAGACTGTCGAGGACCCACCGGGCCTCTCATCGAACGATGCTGTCTTCTGTTCGGAGCTGTGCTTCTCGCAATCACGCCGGGCGAACTTCAAGAAGAATAAAACTTGTGATTGGTGCAAACATGTGAGGCATACTGTGTCCTACGTTGATTTTCAGGTATGTTTTTTGTTTAAATATAAATTTTAAAGGTTAATAATGGTTTTTATCGTGATTTTTTTTTAGGATGGAGCTTCCCAACTGCAGTTCTGTTCGGATAAATGTCTAAATCAGTATAAGATGCATATATTCTGTCGTGAAACCAGGGCGCATTTAGAAATGAACCCGCATTTGCTTAACGACGACACCTCTTCGGGTCTGATCACTCCGGACCTCTGGATGCGTAATTGTCGTTCACCTGGTTCAAGAACTTCCTCACCGCAACCTGTTATGCATGTGGATGAACCCCAAACAAGCCCTTTACCTTTGATCACTGTTGCTCATCCTTCAAAGTTATTGGTCCCTGAGAAGACACCTCCACCTTTGAAACGCAAACGTACCAAAAAACGTGCTGGTCTACCCCCAAATAAAACCAGTGATGTCGCGCAGGATTTACGTGTGCGTCGACATCACACCTTCACTGAAACAAACACAAACCGAGATTTTCCTGAATTGGCCGCTAGACTCTGCGCAAATGGTCCTGAACCACGTGAGCAGACCATACCAGTTAATATCACAACAGTCCCACCTCCTCCTCCGCCATTTCCACATCAAAGACCATTTTTACCTGCTATGGGAGTACCACGTGCAGGGATATTACCTCCTGTTACTGTAATGGTACCCTATCCAGTTCTACTTCCGGTTCCGGTACCCATACCAATTCCATTGCCGTTCAGCGCATTCCTACAAGCAGCCAATCTACGAAATACTCCTCTGACACAAAATGGCGCTCCACCAAGCGTTGAAGAAAGTGTCAAACACAGCGACGATGAAGAAATCGTCGTTGATGATGATTCCAGACTGAATACACAATCTACAAGTGGTGATCCAGTGGACACACCGCAAAACTCACCGCTGCGTTTACGAAAACGTAAATCCAGCGAGAATCCAAGCTACAAACATAAGAAATCCTTGTCGGTGTAGATAGTACATTTCCATGTGTGTTTATTTATTGATGTATGGTGCTGGTATTTGATTTGTATTTTAATAAAACTAACAATACATGAATGTTGGTTTTTTTAGACCACTTTATTGGCTGAGGCATTAATTGTACATTTATTATCATTACTTGTTTAATAATAATATAGTTTTGTTTGTGTATTTTTTTCTCTCCCACTTTTAGGTTTCTCATCGTACATCTCTAACTCATTCTTTACATATAATCATCAGAAAGCAATCATCACCTCATCACCGTCGACATAGATGAACGCTTATTACGTTTTTGTTGGTTTTAGTTTTATTCAATAGTCTTTATAATAATAATTACAATCAAAACTCGTCTTCTGGGTGCAAACAAGTTTCTCAGTTTTTCTCATCAGTGACGCAATTTAATTTTTTGTTTTATTTAACATAGAATCTCATCTGCTTAGTTATTTAGGTAGGTGTGATCTGCATCACGTTCCCCGCTCACATTTTAGGGTTTAGGATAGAGCATAAGATTCCATTTTGCACACATTTATAGACCCCATACTCTTAATTGCAATAATAACATCATTCGAAACATCCTGTTATGCATCTCTTATAATGATAATGACGTTTTGATGTCGGTGAACGCTTTTTACATTTTGAATGTGACATGATCATGATCATGGCTCGATTTTTTTCCGAAAACAACCAAGATGTGAAACCGGACTAAACTAAAGGAATCTCGTCGGGTGGAAATATTTAGTTCTAGCTAAAATTTTAGGCAAATTTAGACTCTGGCTACAGTTTTTTGTTTTTTTCATTAAATTTCTGTGTAATCGGATGGGTCTATTGTTGAGAATCGAAATATTTGTACATTTTTGTTATTTAATTAGTACTTTCAGTTCAGTTTTCGTCGTTTTGTTAAAATTAATATCATAGATTAAAATTTATCAGTCAGATATTATAACAAATCGTTTTTTTTTTCATTTTTTACCGCGCGCGCCTCAAATGTCAACTAATCAAGTTATGTTTTCATCATTACCTCAAGTCACAAGTCTTTTGCATAGAATGAATGTAAGTAATTTACAAGAATACAAAAATAGTTCGTTTGTTTTTCTCGATGTGCGATTCTCGATCTTCGCCTGGGAAATTTCGCCAAACGAAGATCGACAATCGTTGAATGTAAGTGTTAGGCCGGCGAATGAAGAAACGAAAGGGTCAACAATTTGCTAATTCGAACAGATCTAAGTGTGCACACGTGTACATCATCATCTACATTATACAGTGTGGGCGTGTGAAAAATTGGTGCTTCATTGTGCAGGTTGTACGTGTCTAACAATCATAAAATTACCAATCACTAAACTACACATAGTTGTTTTTTTTTATGCAAATTTTACATAGATACAAATTGTGCGTTGTGCAATTGTGTGTGGTGGATGTGCATATGAATAAACATTGTATTTTAGACACTTATAACTTATTGCATCTTATTCATCGGTCGGAATGTAAAAAAACCGAAACAAAATCGAAAACTTTTTTTTAAACGCAAATTTTTTTTGATATTATATTCTTTTTTTGTTTATTACTATACGTTGCAAATTATTACTTTTCCGATGTGTCTCTTTCTCGTATTTGTACAAGGTGTGTAAGTAAGTAATTAAAATTAATTTTTATAAAGATTAGGTGTGGTTTTTTTGTTTGTTTACAAGACTAGACACGTGTTTATAAATATATTGTCTCTACTGTCGAAAAATATATGTTTCTAGATTATTATATATAGTACAGAGCAGACTCAGAAACCGAAAAATTCAGTGAAAACCTTCTTGCTTTATTCTTATTGTTTTTGGTACGTATAAAAATAATTTTCGTGTAGCAATTGACGTCACCTTTGTTTTATTCTACGAAAATAAACTACATCTGCGAAATGAAACGCTTTTCCAACAGAAGTGTATTGACTTTTCCGGTTTTCCGGTTGTAAGAAGCAAGAAAGTTTTCATATAGAGACGTAAATAATTTGACTTGGTTACTTTTCACATATTTCAGAGAAAATCACAACCGAATTCATCAATAGAATTAATTAATTAATTAATTATAATTAATAACAATGCAAGAAGACTAGAAAAACGTTAAAAATAATGGCAGGATTTACATAAATTTCTTCATCGTTTTCATCAAATCCAAATTGAGAGCTTATTGTTTTTTACAAGTAATATATATATTTTTTATATATTTATATACTATCTATATAGACCTTTTTTATATAATATATGTATAGATAACGTAACATAATTGTTAATATTAAGTATATCACATTTATTTATCTTAATCTTATTGTTAGTTTTGTTTGAATCGCAAAAAAATCGAAAATCATTGAAAATTTCAACCGAAAAACAAACATTAATCATATTGTTATTATATTAACATGTAGTTTATATTTGGTTTATATTTGTCGACTAAATATTAGGTAATATATTTTATAAGGTGCCATCGGTGCAGTTTTGGTGGGTGGTGCGTGCATCTTATGTTAAACATGCGGAGATTTTTGCAGGAAAAATTTGCGCTGGTGGAGGTGCCGGGTGTGGGAAAGCAACAACTTGATTGACCCCGAAAGTATTGGCTTGCATTCGATGGGATATTCAATTAATCAGTCGCGAATGGCAAATTGATAAAACAGATCAGAAAAGTTGAAAGTTGCAGTTTGATGCCCCCGAGGCGGCCGGGGGCGGCGGCGCGCCAACGTTATTACACTGAAGCCGATTGATGAATGGTATTTTTATCGAAAACTTGCATCGAAAACAGCGCGGACCTTTATTTTCCCTCCGCCGCCGCCACACCACTGCCGCCCCTCATGCTGGCTGGCAAGTCGCAAGATGCATAAAACGAGGACAGGAATAATTTAGCAAGAGCAAACCAGGTTATTGACTCTGACCGATATATCTCCGGAATGCACGTACGCGGGACGGTAAACATGTCGGAAGTTTTCCGCTTTCCACTCTTACCATAACATCGTGTAAAATACGCGCGACGCGCCACGCAGAAAGGTACTAGATATTTACTCAACGCTTGTAATTATAATTATAAGTGCATTAAATCAATTGCATGCGGCACTCGGCGCAAATCGATTCGCTATTTTCGCGCACACGCGATTTCGATTCGATTTCGAAATCGTTTCTCAATAATTCATTACGCGGCAATTTGTGTTGTTTCTTCAATTTGCCACTTACGAGCTAAAAATATACGCAGATCGAATACAAGAGAGGATTTTCTTCTTTTTTTTTTTAGTGTAGGCCGATGTGTTACGAAGAAAACATAAAAACTAATTCGGTTAGCAATACAGTCAGACTTTTATTATGTGTGGTTTTTTTTTCTTCTGTTTTAGTTAATTGATTAGTCTCAATTAATATCGGCCCCGAAACGCAATCGCCATACCAACTAATCTAGCAGAATAATGTTCAATCATTTTACTAATTAGTTAATGAACATGCCTGCTAATGAGTGTTGACTATTTTCGTCTGTGAATATTTCTTTTTTGCTTTCAGACTCATATGTAGCATATCAGACTTGTATTTAGAGAAAAAAATCAATAAATTGAAAAATTACGATGTTAAAATTAATTTTTATATATATTTTTATTTTTTTATGCATTTTATTATCATTTGAAAACATTTTATTAGTCTATAAAAAACCATCATGCTTAAACGTCTCAGTATTGAAATATGTCTGCGGATAGGCTTCGGTGGCTCAGGATGAACCGCATCTGTGCACGGCCATCGCCCGATACCATCGACAAACATAAATTTTATTTTATTTTAGTTATAGTAAGATTATAAGCACGATGGTCCAGCCTCCAAGACTTTGCATAAAAAGTTCCAAATGCGCATGTTGAACACATCCAAATATTTTTTGCATTTTTTTTTTCATTTTTCGCTAAACTTGAACATCAAAACTAGAGATGTAGATCTAGATCTAATATAATTGTAGATAGAATTGAATAATATTGTTTTACTGTGCTCGTACACGACTTTTTTAATGTTTATTAACGAGAAACATCGAAAGCACACTTTTTTTTTTCAAATTTTTTTCCTTCTGTTTATTATATAGAATATTTTATACTATATTTTTAAACTATGCTAAATTACTATGAATTATTATAATAATTATTAACATTTGGATGGTTACTGATCATTTTTTCTTGTTTTTCAATAAATTTTCAAAAATATTTTTAACATCGTAATTTTTTTCTACTAAAAATTTACCTGTCCTGAAAATAGTTTCAAACACTTTAGAAAACATTAAAAAAATCAACTAAAACAATATATTATTTGTTTTTAGTTGATTTCATGTTCTGTTGTCATTCTACACTAAATTGAAAGTTAAACAAAAACGTCATCACTTTCTGCATGTGTGGGCTTGCGTGTTAATACTTAGTCTTTGTTCTCACAAGTTAAATGTTCGCTACGCAAGTAAATATATCATGAAAGGAGTGAAAATGTGATGATAATGGAAAATATTTCTGAGAGGCTCTTGAAATGCTCGGACCTGACTAGACGAGCGCTTCAAGAGCTATCAAATTTTGCGTGTTTTTTTTTTCTGGGAATGATGGTAATTTGGTAAGCGCTGAAGATCGATCGATGTTCCAAGTCGAAGCAGAGATAATGTTTAGTTTAATAATTTAATAATTGTTGGGGTTTTGTTCATCCACGCGCTTCGTATAGTTTGGGTGTTTTACATTTGAAATGACTGAAATGTGTCTCACATGTTCATCTCGCTTTTATAACCTCGTAAATATATAGTAATCGCTTACGAACTAATAAATTTCATAATATACCTTAAATGTTATCATTTCTCCTTCCATTTTTATGCAATTCTGCTTTGTGTATGTTGGGATGCTCACTTTCTCCCATATTTTGCATTTCTGTATGTAGTATACGTTTTATTCCTCGCCTCAACTCCAGCTCAACTAATTGTTTATAGTAGTCATAATCTCGCAAACGTCTTCTTTTAACGTAAACACGGTGAGATTGTAAATGCTGGGGGTTATCTGTTCATTTATAGTTTAACAAAATACATTATGTGTGTTGGGTGTGTGTTTGGTTGCGTGTATTCTGTCCGAGGGTTTCGTGTCGATTCAATAGGTGGCGCGGGTGGTTAGAGCAACTAACGCCCTCTCGCCCATCGTAGCAGAGCGTCCGCCAGTACATCCAGATGCGCTTTTGTCTGCAAAACAAAAGTTTCGAGGTTAATAGACTCCAAAAGAGGTTAGCAACGATTAAAAGAGTAAATGGCTGGAAAATTTTAATGGAATTATCATGTAAAATCAGCGCGCGGACGAGTCTATTATGCATAATGGGTCAAGACAGCCGATGAAAAACATAATACAAGCGTGGGTGTAGAAATGTCGAACGATCTACGTTCATCGACTCGTGTACACGCGGCCCAAACTTTAAGTGCTCGCTGCTCACTTTTGGCATTCGCGAGATATGATAGAAGGGAAAAAATAGCCGCCGGCAATCGTTGTAGTGGCGTCGTCGGGCGGGGGCGGCCGCGGCCGCGGCGACCGATTGTCTATCGGCGTGGGCGCTATCTCCATTCATTACTCCAGCGAACGCACAGTGGCACAGTCATCGTACGCCCCCAAAAACGCAAAACAACCCCAACATACGAATCAATCATGTTCGAAAAGTGCACGCACGCTTGCCGCCCCCATAAAAATTATCCCCCACCCACATTTATTTCTTTCCGCTCATGCTGAAAATTACGTTTTAATATTTCCGCAATTTATTTCGCCGGTAATACGATTTCACCTTTTCTTCGAAAATAAAAGCAATTCCAGCACGAGTTGACTTCTTGCACTTCCCACGGCTGAGAATTTCTACTTTCTTACCATACGACTTCAAAGCCACCGCCGCAATCTTTAGGGATTTGTATTTGAGCAATTTTAGAACTTCAGCCTCAAAGGGAGGCGCATTGAAACCAGCAATAAAATTGAGTGGAGCTATTTTTCTTCATCTACGATTATTTATCACATAGGCATCCGAATTCATTCACTGGTAATTTTTTTGTTTGTCAACATGTTTTCTCATTTCATCATCGAACCGAAGATGATTTAGATTTAGGTCGATGGGACAAACAAATTGAATCGAATTGATTTTCGTTGCCAATTGCTTCGAAGTTTGAGTTAAAATTGAAAGAAGCAGAAAGACAGAGTAGCTTGTTGCATTCGCATGACTTTTATTTACACTTTAGTCTTACCGTCTTGTAGAACATGCACGACTGTCGATCTTCATCTTCCGCCGATGGGCAATCAATGAAACCATCGCATAACACGTGATCATCAATGCAATGGTAACGACCTTGACGATCAGGCGTCGGGCACGCGAACCGCTCCATTCCATCTGGCGCTGGTGGGCATTCTATAAACATTAAATATTAACATCAATAAATTTTTCAACTTTTATTATTAAAGCGTCAGTTTCCACAGTTTTAAGACACAAAAAGTAGTTTTTTAAACACGGACGGCCAAAAACGTGACTAAAGTACTTTAGTCACGGGTTTTAGTCACGGGGTAGAGCTAAATGGCTTAAATCGTGACTTTCATTATTAAAGCGTCAGTTTCCACAGTTTTAAGACACAAAAAGTGGTTATTTAAACACAAACGACAAAAAACGTGACTAAAGTACTTTAGTCACGGGTTTTAGTCACGGGGTAGAGCTAATTGGCTTAAATCGTGACTTTCATTATTAAAGCGTCAGTTTCCACAGTTTTAAGACACAAAAAGTGGTTATTTAAACACAAACGACGAAAAACGTGACTAAAGTACTTTAGTCACGGGTTTTAGTCACGGGGTCGAGCTAAATGGTTAAAATCGTGACAAAAACTTCTGTTGATGAACTTGATACTTAATATACTGATATTCACACACAATGATAATAATTTTCTGAAGTCTTCAAGTGAGGTTAGCGAACTCATGTAAAAGTTTCGCGATAGAAACTTTACAATTTACAATTGTGCATTATACAAATCCCTTGAGAGATATACCTACTTTGGGAATGAGCGCGATTTGCACATCTTCAGACAGACGCTGATGAATAAACAATTCAGACGTAAAAGTTTCACAGACGCAAAAAAATTACACAGGCGAAAAAAAGTCGAAACATTTACTTTTGAAAGAAAATACAAGTGAATTTGTAAAAGGATCGCTCACGTACATTTTCCACGAAATAATTCAATTTTCCTTTCAATACGTGAGCCGTTTACGTGGTCAATGAACAGTTTAACAGTGTCGACAGTTTAACAAGAAATAAAACGCTTTTTTCTTTTTATTTTATTTCTTTTTTTGGCAAAAATTACTTACATAGTTTTTTAATCTTAAATGATGCCGATACTAACTGTCGGTTTAATGGCCAAATAATAGAATAATAAATTCAACCATTGTCGAAATCGACGATAAAACGTATCGTGTATAGTCTGTGGTGGCGACTGCGGCTATTTTTATCCCAGCGGCTTTGATTTTATTGTGCGCTAATGAAGAGCGAAGACTTGGGTTAGGAAAATGTTTAATATTGGTGAATGCGCCGGGCGTGCTCGGGTAGTGCTCGGGTTTTTTTCGAGAGCGAATATTGTTTCCGTTGCCATTATTTCCATACATCCGCCGGGCAGCGCACTAATAGCCGAAACACTAGTTTCCGACGGTTTTATTCGTGTATTTGCGTAAATCCCTGTAATTTATTTGCAAAAATAATCAAACTTGATTTTTCAGATAAAATGCAACAGATTGAAAACGTAAATATTCAACAATGTGCAAAAATAAACAAGAACATACTTGAATACACTTGAATATCGAAGTAGACGATGTATTTATTTGCGTTTTGATAACTCCCTGAGCATGGAAGCGTGACGGCACGAAGGGCAAAGGAAACTGAGGGCAAAGCAACTGAAATGATTGATCAGGGAGGTTTTATCTTATTGCTTTCATCGCTCGCAGATTGCTTTCAATCGTTCGGGGCCATATTTGTGTGATTTTCGATACTCGAACAATAACGGAATTCAAAAGCAGAAAAAAAAATCTTTTTTTATTTTTTTTTCTTCTTCGTATTCATTAGTTATTCATTTTTATCATTTTTTTATTTACAATGTTCCAAATTTTAGCAGTGTGTTTGTTTGTGTAAAACGATTCAATTTCGATGCGAATTCATTCAAGTGAAACTTACAACTTTAGTGAAAAGAAGGCGGAGAAGGCATCGATCGCGCAGCGAGCTCCGACAACACGATTAAATTAAATTAATATTGCGAAACATCGCGCAACGAACCAATCATCGAAATGGAACGCCAATGGAGACGCTAAGCGAACGATAAGGGAAATTCCGACGTTTATAATCCGAAGATGAAATGGTCGCCAGTGGACTGCCATTATTATTATTATTGTGGATAATTTCAATAATTTTATTACCCAGCACGCAAAATAATAATTTTTATGCGTCGTTTATTTAAAATTTCAACCACGAAAATATTTCGATGTGTAGCAGTTAATTGCGGCTATAAATTTACGCAAATTGGTGTATTAATGGTTCCTAACAACGGACATTACACTATCGCTGGTCTAAGCGGATAAGACGAATCGCCGGCGATCGGAGTGTGATAAGCCCCGATGGTCGATGAACAAGATTGCCGAAATGCGATAAGATGCAAGCGCGAAGCGACTAATTACATGCGCATAGCGTGTGCGGCTTAATTTAAAGCGCGTCCAAGGGGCAGGCTTGAATCAAAGATACATAATTATAATACAGGGTGTAAAAAAATCAAAAAAATACTAAAAATATCTTCTAAAAAGAAAAAAATATTTTTTTTAGCAAAAATTTATATAAAATGATTATAAAAAATGTTTTATACAATGAAATGTAATTTTTTTACACTTTGTAGAATAAAAGGATGAGATCGAGGGCAACGCACTCCCCGACACTATTCTGAGAACGCCGGTGGCGGCGGTGGCGGTGGCGACGGCGGCGACGATGGCACGAACACCGGTCGCATACGTTCTGCGTGTGCTACTTTGAACAAAAGTCTAAGCGTGGGCGTTTTTTAGGCCAACCACACTCACACAGAGCGTAGGTTTAAATATTTCTACATCATCGTAAATTTGCTCAAATTTTATCGGGCAGCTTTTAAGTGTTTTGATTGTGAATGCGCACATAGAGTTACTCTATGTATATATATCTATGTATAGATATATTAAAAATCCGCTGAATTCGGCGGAAAAGTTTGCTCAGTGAGCTTCGAGAGCTTTTATTTTCACTATTAAACTCGGTGCACGCTTCCTGTGTGTCGCGCATTCTCATCCTTTTCCTTCTGCACAGCTTTTGCTTTGCTAAACGTCGTAACTTTGTTGCGCGCTGAATTTGCACCGTTAGATTTATAAAAGGTAAACATGGGCATGAATCGTCAGCGCTGTACCTATTTTTACAGCAAACATTAAAAATATTCTTTATTTTTAAGCGGGAAAATGGGATTTTTAGTGGTAAAAAATATTGTTTTACGCATTTACAAAATTTTTAATAAAATTTTACTTATTTTGGGCAAAAAACATTGAAAAGATATTTTTGGTGTTTAAAAGATCATTTTACGCACTTAATATAAAAATTTTAAGTTAAAAATAATTTTTTTGATTCTCATTTGAATTTTTGGTTTATTTTGATGAAAAAAACATTGAAAAATGTAAATTTTAGTAATTTTTAGTTTTCAATAAAATTTTACTTATTTTGGGCAAAAAAACATTGAACATGTAATTTTTCGTGTTTAAAATATCATTTTACGCACTTAACTAAAAATTAAAAGATAAAAATAATTTTTTGGTTTCTCATTTAAATTTTTGTTTATTTTGGTGAAAAACAGTGAAAAATGTAATTTTTGTGTGAAAAATAAATTTTTGCACTTAATATTAAAATGAAAGGCTTATTAGTGTGCAAAAGTGGTATTTTATGCACTTAACACAAAAAATGTAAGATTTGGGTATTATTTGGCCAGTACCACCAGGTCCTGGGAATTTTAACTATGCGAAGCAGAGGGTGAAGCGAAGAACGTTTTACGTTCGTGTAAAGCCTGCACCATTCGTCAAGTTCTAAAAATAGCCCACAACGTTCTAAAATATAAATTTCCCACCCACAATTGTATAAAACTAGATTTTCTCCTACGTATTCCATCTAAACACTCTGCATTCTCTACAACATATATTGTCATCGAATCAATAGTTTGTTTATAAGATGTAAAAACAGAGAAAAGCAACGAAAACGAGAGCAGGAAAAAAACCTGCGGACTTTTTCGACTTTACGTGCCTCGTATAACTAATTTCGGCGCTTTATGCGCGCGCGGGTATAAGTTACGAAAATTACTGTTATGAGGATTTATCGAAGGAAAATCTAAGCCTCTTACGTGCGCACGTACATCGCGCGCGCGAGCGTTTTTGACCGCCGTGGGAAACAGAAGAGAAAAAAAAGCAGCAGCAAACTGCGAGCTGCTCACGAAAAAGAAAGAAAATTAGTTCTGTCTTGCGCGCGCGGGAGCGCTACTCGAAGCCCCTCTCGAAAGGCGAATGACGCGTGACCGAAATTGTTAATTTCGGCCTCGTCCCGCGCGCGCCCGGCGCCTTCGCCACCGAAACCAAACCAACGAGGGGCTAAAAATAGCCTCGCACGTTTTCGGCACCGCGCGCTTACATTCACACCAAAAACTTTACGACGTTAACACTCTTTACGTAAGTTTTTCATTGAGAACTTTGCCACACAGGGAAATCCACAGCAAAAATTGCGTTTTTTTGCCAAAAATTCCCAGAAAAAACGTTGAAATTCAGCAAATTTTTATTATTTTATAAATTTGATTAAAAATTGTTAAATTTAATAATTTTTGCTATAAATTAATCAAAAAATAAATAATAAATCGAAAATTTTCACATTTTGTAAAATACGTTTCCATATTTGATAAATATGGATTTATTTACTGTGAGATTTGGTTTTTGAAAGCGTGGCAACCAAAAGCAAGCGACAGAGCGCGGCAGGAGAGAGTCAAGTTGTCGAAGGACTGGTTTTACGTCACCGGCGCCTGGTAGCGCAGCGCCGACGTGCAAAGTACGCGCCCACGCGTTCCACACCGCCATCGCCGCCGCCGCTGCCGCTGGCCGCCCAGCGGCAGATCAATACGCCACATCGATGCGCATCCCCCGAACGACACACACGCGGGCCACGCCGGCCGGCAACTCATTCACAAACATCCTCAAAATGCGCGCCGCGCAAAAAAAAAAACGCATAACAAATTTTTATTACAAACTTCCTTCTCGTCCACCACCATCGCCAGCAAAACCGCACACAGATTGTATTTAAAAATAACCCCAAAGTCTAATCTGCTATGGCGTGCGGCGTATATA